TTGGCGATTGCCATTGCCGATATATTGTCACAATGTATTGTAGTTGGGACGGTTTGAGTCATGCCAAGTTCGTCGAGCAGTCTTCGGAGCCAGATGACCTCGGAGGTGGCCGCCGAGAGCGCTCGGTATTCTGCTTCGGTGGAAGACTTGGCTACCGTGACTTGTTTCTTTACTGTCCATGAAACAAGCGTAGGTCCCAAGAATGTACAATAGCCTGAAATCGACTTACGATCCGTTGAATCGGCGGCCCAATCCGCATCGGTGAAGGCTCGGAGAGTGAGATCGCCTGATCGAATGGGAAGACCATACGTGACAGTTCCTTTTAGGTAGCGAAGAAGGCATTTTAAGGCTTGAAAGTCTGCGTTCGAGGGTTGATGCATGTGTTGGCAGAGTTGATTAGTTGCATAGGCTATGTCTGGCCTTGTTATGGATAGATATTGCAGAGATCCGGCTATGTGACGGTAGAGAGTTGGATCGGAATACTGAAGCAGGTCCTGTTCTGGCAGTTTGCTTTTGAGAGTGCTTGGCGTGGAGGCTGGTTTGCTATCTTGCAAGTTGGTCTCCCTTAGAATCTTCTCAGCATGATGTTGCTGGGTGAGGAAAATGCCGTCGGGTTGTTGGATGACTTGGATGCCGAGGAACAACGAGATCACCCCTAATTGCTTTAAAGCAAAGGTGGATCTGAGCACGAGGAGCAGCTGCTGAATTGCTGATTCGTCATTACCTGTAATGAGAAGATCGTCAACGTATATTAGAAAGAAGATTTGGATATGATTTTGTTTGAGGATGAGGAGCGAGGGATCCGAACGACTGAACCTGAACCCGTGTTTTTGAAGAAATTGAGTTAGTTTTTCATACCATTGTCGAGGTGCCTGTTTGAGGCCGTATAGAGATTTCTGAAGTTTGCATACCAGATCGGGTTTGGTGGGATCGGTAAAGCCTGGCGGCTGTCGCATGTAGACGTCGTCAGGTAAATCTCCATGCAAGAAGGCGTTGGATACGTCGAGTTGTAGGATCGACCATTTGCGGTGCACTGCAAGTGTGAGCACGATACGAATTGTTGTCATTTTAGCTACCGGACTGAACGTCTCCGTGTAGTTGATGCCTAGTTGTTGATCGTATCCGAGTGCTACAAGACGTGCTTTGTAGCGATCTATCTTGCCATTGGGTAGAGTCTTTGTCTTGTAAGTCCACTTACAGCCGAGAATAGGTTTGTTGGGCGGTGGTGGTACTAGAGTCCAAGTTCCTTGTTTCGTCAAAGCGTCGAATTCTTCTGACATAGCTTGCTGCCAGTGACCGATCTTGGCAGCTTGTTTGTAGTTGCTCGGGGTCTCCTGAGAAGAGTTAGAGCTAACAAGAGAAAAAATGTGTTTTGGTTTGGTTATTCCGGATTTCAGTCGAGTGGTCATGTGGTGAGATGGTTGCCGAGGGATCACAGGGAGCAAAGCATGCGGAGTGGAGGTGTGTGGAGCGGTTGGAATGATTGGTGCTGGTGTTGGAGAGCTAGGTGGTAGGCGTTGTGTTGTGAGAGATGGTGCGGTGAGATCAGTTTGCCGGTGTACAGGGGGTGTGACCGTGGAGACCGGGGTGAGGAGGTAGGGTGATATGTGAGTTGGAGTAGTGGGTGACGGCTCTTGAGATTGAGACTTGATATTCTTGTAAGGGAATATGTGCTCGTGAAATTCAACGTGCCTTGAGATGTGAATCTTGTGTGTGTGAAGGTTATAGCATTTGTAACCTTTGTGAGACGTCGAATAACCGAGAAGGATGCATTCTTGTGAGCGAGGGGAGAGTTTGTTGGGAGCATAAGGGCGAAGCCAAGGGAAGCAGAGGCAGCCGAACTTGCGAAGGAAAGAATAATTGGGAGAGCGACCGTGCAAGCGGCGAAAGGGAGTGTCAAGATTGATTGATTTTGAGGGGAGACGGTTGATGAGGTAGTTTGCGGTGGACAAGGCTTCGGCCCAGAAGGTGTTTGGAACATGTGATGCATGAAGTAAAGTGCGAGTTAGTTCCAAAAGATGGCGGTGTTTACGCTCGGCCACCCCATTTTTCTCGGGAGTGTGAGGGCAGCTGAGTTGACGTTGTATGCCGTGTGTGTTGAGAAAAGTGGTGAATTCAGTGCTAGTGTATTCGCCGCCGCCGTCGGAGCGAAGAGTTTTCGGGGTCATGTTGAATTGAGTTTTAATTAATCTGTAAAGCATCTTAAATTTTGAGAAGGTTTCTTGCTTAGTATGCATAGAATAAAGCCACGTAAAGCGAGTGTAATCGTCGGTAAACAGAACATAGTATCGTGAACCGTCTGTGGAAGGAATCGGGGCTGGCCCCCAAACGTCAGTGTGCAGCAGTTCAAAGGGAGACGTAGTAGTAGAAACAGTTTTATTGAATTGTAATTTGTGGCTTTTAGAAACACTACAAGAAGTACAATGTAAGAAGCTAGAATTATTCTTGATGTCAGGTATGACATGAGACAGCACAGATAGAATGTGACGGTGGGGATGACCCAGGCGGTCATGCCAGAGCTGGGCGTTGGTTCGGCTGGCGTGAAGAGCTGCGGTAGCAGTTGCTTGCCGGTGTGATATGGTGTAGAGACCGTCACGAAGGTTGCCACGAAGAAGAGGACGACGTGCCTGAATATCCTTGATCACAAAGCTGTTAGCGTCAAATTTAACAGTGACAGGATTATCGGTAGTTAATTTTGAAACAGACAGGAGGTTTTGAGCTAGAGAAGGAACATGAAAAATCTTTCGTAAATAAAGCTTACGGGGTGTTTCGGGTAGAGGTAGGAGTTCCTGACCGGAATTTTGAATTGGCACGGTTGACCCATTTGCGATAGAAACACTGTCGGTCCCGGTGTATGAGTGAGGGTACTGAATATTTGATATGTCCGGTGTTAGATGTGCGGAGGTGCCCGTGTCCAAGATCCACTCAGAGTTTGTTGTAGTCGGTTGTGCTTGGAAGGCTTGGGGAGATCTTGATACAGTTGGGGCAAATTTAAAGTTGCATCTGTGCCAACAGTTGAGTGCTATATGACCGGTTTTGCCACAGATTTGGCAGATGGGCCGAGAGTTGGTCGCTGCAGTCGAATTTGTCGTGACCGGAGGGGAAGGGTGTTGAAATGGCTGCTGAGGCTTGTTCTTGAAGAACTTTTTTTGAGTTCTTGCTTTCGCTGGATTGTAGTTAGTTGAGTAGAGAGCGGTGTTGTTCGCAGCGGAGGAAGAATCTTTGGCGAGTTCTTGACTGACATTTACCTCTTCGCTGCAGAGCATGGAGTAGAGGTTATCAAGATCGAGCGCGATAGGGTAGGTACGGATTGCGGCTTTGAACGGATTATAGGAGGCAGGTAATCCGTTAAGAATGTGGATAATGATGTCTTCCGGATCTACAGTGGAGCCAGAAGCCGCTATGTTGTGACGATTGTTTTGATTTGTGTCAGATATTGCTGCATAGTGAGGTTCTTCATTTGCACATTGTGGAGTTCATTCTTTAGATGGACGACGCGAGAGCGGCATGTAGGTTGAAGTCTTCGTTCAAGGATTTGCCAAACGTCGTGGGCTGTGGTCAAGGATATGATGTAGGGAAGTATAGTAGGAGAGATTGTGGAAAATAAGGCAGAAAGCAGGTTGGCGTCCTCGAGTTTCCAGCGAGAGAAGTCCGGAGTATTTGTCTCGGACGGAGGCAGAGAAGAACCGGTGATGTGTCCGGCGTACCCGTTGGCGGTGAATTGTTGAAGAACCTGAATGCGCCATATAGCATAGTTGTCCACGGTGAGGCTTTGCGGAATTAGATTCTTGATGTTTGATATGAGAAATTTGAGCTGTGGCGGTATGACGATGTCGTTGTTCGCGGCTTGGCCGGAGAGAGGGGAGGAGGTGGTCGGATGAATGTTGGTTGATTCTTGATCAGCCATGGGAGGCTCTGATACCAAGAAAGCAGAGAAACAGGAAAGCGAACGACAGGGAAGAAAGAAAGAAATTGTATTAAGAGGAAAAATAGAATAGCTACAGTTTACATAAATGTTTGTGTTTAAATAGATTACAGAAATGGCAATAGTGTAAATATCAAATGCTGTTCGCTAATAGGGATCACTCCACCATCCCACATAAATCATGAAATTCCAACTTAGAAAAAAAAATTAGTGTTGTTTAAAATTTATTAATCATTAAATTTCTCTGACTTAGTTATTTAAATATAAACATTTAATCAGTAAACATACATAATAAAGTCTTTTTTTTTAATGCCAAATCTTTGTTTGGGAAAGCTTTAGGTCACTGTTTTTGTCGTTGTTTTTTTTTTTAATTATTAGAAAATTATTTTTGAAAATAATAAAAAAATTTGTCCCAAATCAAACCTAAATTATAGGCTTTTTAACAACTATCTCAATTTTCTCATAATTAATCATCATTGAGCTTTTGGAAATTAAATGAGAAAATTTTAGATGCAAATATGATGAGTCTCTTTCTCTACCTATAATTTTATTAATTATATTTAATTTCAAAATAAATTCAAATAAATATAAGAATTTTCCTATTCAATTTATCTGTGTCTATTATGTGGGGAAAATTATTAGGTACAGATACCAGATATAGAGACATGTCCGGATATCCACTTAAAATTTGACACGTGTAGTGCACTTTGGTTGTACTTTTTATATGATTTACCTGCAATTTAGTTGCACTTTGACTGCTCTTTTGTTGCGCTTTTTGTCTGTGCTTTAATTGCGATTCAGCTGCGTTTTAACTGCTCTTTTGTTGCGCTTTTTACTACGCTTTGATTGCATTTTACTTGCATTTTAGTTGCACTTTGACTGTCCTTTTGATCAGCTTGACTTAAAATTTTACGGACGCATTAAATATACATGTCAATATTTTATTAGAGTCTTTGGATTCACCTCAACTTTCCATCTCTGCACATAATAATTTCCGTTATGTGGAGGCCACCAGTTATGCTCTTTCTCTATTTAAAACCTTATTTCCCTCTTCGTTCTTACACGAAAGGAGGAAATGGACATTGGGGATGCGTACCTACAAGGAAGCAGAAGCCCCTCACCTTTCTGGAAAAGCGGGGAAGGCTCAATATTCTCCATATCTTCGAGCGAGAGAGGCGAGGAGGAGGAGTTGGATTTGAGATGGGCTGCGCTTCAGAAGCTTCCAACTTACAATAGGGCTAGGAAGGGAATTCTGAATTTTGAAGATGGCGAGCTCAAAGAGATCGATATCAAGAACCTCAGCTATCACGATAGGAGAAACCTGCTCGACAGACTGGTACGAGTTGTAGAAGAAAACAACGAGAAGTTTCTTCTTAAGCTAAAGGAAAGATTCAATAGGTATGAAATATAATTTATCAGGTTAGGCTTCGTTAAATGAAGCTCTGTTTTTTTTTTTTTAATTCCCGAAGCCACTTTGTTGTTTCTCAGGGTTGGAATCGATTATCCAACCATCGAAGTGCGGTATGAGCTTCTAAATGTTGAGGCTCAAGCATATGTGGGAAGCAGAAATTCGCCCACCTTCTTCAATTCAATTCTTAACACAGTTGAGGTATACGAAGTGTTCATCGCGGAAGTTTCTGGTATTTTTGTTTATAGAGTATGAGGAGCTCGAAGCAATCAGGATTTGTTACTTCATAGTTACTTTATTTTAATGCAGTTCTTTAGCAATCACCTTCATATAATTCCAAGCAAGAAGAAACCATTCACCGTACTCAACGATATTAGTGGAATCATCAGGCCTCGAAGGTATCGAAATGTCTCTCCCTTCATATTTATCTAATGGTTTGCTAAACCTTGCTTGAAATCTACAGGATGACACTGCTTTTAGGCCCCCCTGGTTCAGGGAAGACGACACTGTTATTGGCTCTAGCTGGGAAGCTAGGCTCAGATCTTAAGGTCTTCTAATTCTTACAATAACTTTAATGATCTTAAGATCTTAAATTTATGAGATTGTTTTCAATCTTATGAAGCTCATGACAATGAAAATTAAAAAAAATTGATGCAGGTTTCTGGAAATGTGACATATAATGGTCATGCAATGGATGAGTTTGTTCCACAAAGAACAGCAGCTTATATAAGCCAGTATGATCTCCACATGGGAGAGATGACAGTGAGAGAAACCCTTGCATTCTCTGCCAGATGTCAAGGGGTTGGCTATCGTTTTGGTGAGGAAAAAATCCTCCGTTAAGAAAAAAACCTCATTAACTCATACGGTTGCAACGTTAAATTAGCATGTTTATCTGCGTACTGTCTGCAGATATGTTGACTGAATTGTTAAGGAGAGAGAAGGAAGCAAATATCAAACCTGATGCTGATATAGATGTCTTCATGAAGGTGAAATTAGCAACTAATTCATTAAGAAACATATTTCTATCCATCTAAATAGACTTCTTTTAAAATTAAATGAAGCTATCACATTGACATGATATAAAAAAATGTAATGCTGCAGTATTATTTGTTTAATTTTACAGGCATCATCAATGGAAGGGAAAGAAACTGGTGTGATCACAGATTATATTATGAAGGTATTCTTTGTTGTTTGATTGAGAAAATCACTAATGAAAAATAGAGGAAGCGAGGAACAAGAATATTATAAAATATTTAACTTTTTTTTTTATAAAATTTGGTAACAGATTCTGGGATTGGAAATTTGTGCTGATGTCATGGTAGGCAATGAAATGTTAAGAGGTATTTCTGGAGGACAAAGAAAGCGTGTCACCACTGGTAAATGAACTAATTAGTTTCTCAACTCATTAAGTTATCGTTGCTCTTGTGATCAGTAATCAATGCATAATTTTACAGTTAACATATCTAAGACAAAGTTCATTGTGACATAGGTGAGATGATTGTTGGTCCCGCAAAAGCATTGTTCATGGATGAAATATCAACGGGCCTTGATACCTCTATATATATATATTTTTTTTTTTTGGTTTCAAGGCACATGATATTTTCTTTTAGAAAATTTATTTGATCAACATGAATCTTGAGACATTATTTGAATTGAAAATTTTCTGAAAATTCAGAATCATCAAAACTACGATTTCAATAAACTTATAGTTGAACTGAACTTCTAATAGGTGAATTGAACATCTCAACAACAAATCCAACAACGCCAAAAGCTATCCAATTTGAGTCCAAATGAACTCAAATGAAGCTCTTAGGCATATTTGAAAGTTTTAGGTTATTAATTAAAAGACCAAATGGTCTAAAATCTTGAATGTTTTATTCCAACTTGAGCGAACTATTTGTTTTTCTTCCCAGGTGACTTCAGTGAAAGATCAAAAGCAATATTGGGCACGACATGATAAACCATATCGATATGTGCCAGTTAAGGAATTCGCAAAAGCATTTCTCTCATTTCATGTTGGTGAAAACCTTCGAAAAGAGCTATCTGTTCCTTTTGACAAGAGCAAGAGCCACCGTGCTTCTCTAACAACTTCAAAATTTGCTGTCAGTGGAATTGAAATACTGAAAGCCTGTGCTGAAAGAGAGCTGCTTCTAATGAAGAGAAATATCTTTGTTTATGCATTTAGAGCTTTTCAAGTAAGACAGTACCCTTCAACTAAAACCTAATACTTCAATCCCCCAAATCAAAATCATGCTCATTTCGTTGGCTTTCAGGTCATGTTTATGGCAGTTGTCACGATGTCACTCTTCTGGAAGACAGAAATGCATCACAGATCTATAGATGATGGACAGATTTACATGGGAGCTCTCTTTTTCTCTCTTCTCACTATCTTGTTCAATGGCTTCTCTGAGCTTGCTTTAACCATTATTAAGCTACCTGTCTTCTTCAAGCAAAGGGACTGTGACTTTTTTCCTTCGTGGGCTTTTGCATTGCCAAATTGGATCTTAAATATACCATTTTCATGCGTTGAAGTTGCAATTTGGGTACTTCTCACTTACTTCGCCATAGGATATGATTCAAGTGCAGAAAGGTAAGAAATGTTTAAATTAACTTATAACTTTCATGTTTTATTGGAACTTTTATTTGTGTGTCTCAATATTTTTTGGTGCAGGTTTTTCAAACATTACCTTCTGCTGCTTCTGGTAAATCAAATGGCATCCGGAATGTTTCGGTTCATTGCAGTACTGGGAAGAATTCTTGTTATTGCTAATGTATTAGCAGCCTACATAATATTGGTGATTTTAGTGTTGGGTGGATTCTTAATTTCACACGGTTGTTTTCAAACTATATCTAGCAACCTTTTCATTTCTATATTATAAGTGCTATAGGGAAATGCTATGGTACAATCAAAAAAGGTTATTTTTATTACTTGTTATTCAACTTGGCTTAGAGATATGAATATGAACATTATTTAGTAGTATTAAATAAAACTCAAATCAAATCCATTTTATAAATCCTATATGATGTAGCCTCGAATCAAGCAGGTGGTGCATCGCCGCATGTTTTTGGCCCATCATCTCATTTCTCAGGTTTACCTGTCAAAGGAGCACGCGCCTTCCTAGCCTGCTTTCTCCTTTGCTTTCTTCTTGCAGAAGCCTAAGCACCTATCTGCCATGGTTCAACTCCTCTGCCACTCTTCCAACCTCATCATATGCTACCCTGGACAACACCGCACCCTAGTCCCGCTCCCAGTCTAGCACGATTTTCCCGCTTCTTCTCGCACGTCGCCGAACCTACACCTCCTTCTACCCTGCTCACAACCTAGCTGCCTAGCATGTACCTCCTTCGTCAAACCACCTTCTCCACCCCATTTGCGCATCTCAATCCTTCGCCATAACCTCCTCCACTAGCAGCCCCAGTTCACCATTCTCCTCACAAGGCACTTCCAAATGCCTGCTACCCCAAAGCACCACCACCTCTCACCTTTCCCTGTCTCCTTTTTCGGATAGTTTCTCTCTCTCATCCATTTTTCTCTCTACAATAGTGGGATCTCTCTCTTTATATCTCTAACTCTTTGCTTTTCTTTACACTCTCTTTCCCCTCTTTCAAACAAAATCATCTCTCATCTCTTCCCATCTTTTTCTCTCACATATTTTAGATGTCTCGGATCTATTGTTCAGAGTAATAGTGAAATAGATGGAGATATTATTAGTAGAATTCAAATTTGATGATTAAAGTATGCATCAAAGTATCCCTCAAACTTAAGAGAAAGTTCTATAAGATGGTGGTGAGACCTAGAATGCTTTATCGCGCAGAATGTTGGCCATCAAAAGAGAAGCATAAAATTAAGTGTTGCAGAGATGAAAATGCTTAGGTAAATGAGTGGCTTTACTCTTAGAGAAAGAATATGAAACGAGCATATGCGTAAAAGGTTGGAGTAACTCCAATGGCATATAAGATTAGAGAGAGAGAGTCGCCATAGAAGGATTGTTCATATTAAACGTCGACCTTCTGATGACCCTATTAGGAGAGTATATGTACTAAATTTGGTTTATGCTAAGAAAGGTAGAGGTAGACCTAAAAGGATTCAGTTATAAAATATTAGAAATGATTTTTTTTTAATTAAATTTAAATGAGATGAGGAGTAAACACCGCAATGTCGAAACAAGCAGAAAAGTAAATGACATCAGGATTTAACGTGAAAAACTCTAAAATAAAGAAAAAACCATGAAGCCACACCACACCAAGAAATTCACTATGAAAATAGGTATAAATAAGTACATATCTCTCCTCTCTGAGCCTCTCCTTCTCTTCTCACATGCACTGTTCTCAATATCTACACTTTCAAAATACAAGAGAAAGCCAAGTAAAATAACTCCAAGGGACGCAGCCCTCTAGAAAAAAAAGATATAAAACCACTCAATCTATCTCGCAGTGCTAGTCGAAAGCGCTGTGACTCTTGAACTTCTGTCTTGATCGACTACATCACCATATCTATGTCATTGCGGCGCTCTGCTCTCTATCATTCAACGCCGGTGCGTTTGCACCCGAACTCAAGCTTGGAATAAACCTTCTGCACCTCCAGGAGCACGAGAAACTTGAGGACCGAGGCAACAAAACAATTTGATTGATTACACAATTAGATTCCAAACATAACATCAACATGGCGGAGAGTTCTGCATATTCCCTCGTGTAAGTATATAAAAGCTTATGCGTGCTTTTTACATGTAGTGGGATAGAAGATGTGGCCATGGTGTCTCATAACATCAATAATGCATGCTTTGTTTAGTATGGTGAGAGTGCCTAGCACTTTCTAAGATGCCTCATATGCGTAGGAGTTGGGGTGTTGGAAGGATGCTGAAATTTTCTATGGATCAAATATGCTAAGAGCTTTAAAATGATATGATGAAGGAGTTTATGAATATAAATGCAACAAAATAAAATAAAAATAGTACAAAAATTTGGAAAAAAAGATGAGAAAATAATATGTACACTCGAAACACAACTATGTCATGATGAATGAAGACAAGGTTTGAATAAAACAAAACTTACAGAGATTTATAATGAATACAACAACTTGCTAAAGAATATGAACAAAACCTTAAAGGGTAATGTGAAAAATCTGACAAGATTCTAACTTGTAAATTGTAAAAAATCTCATTGAATGCGCAACACACATAGAGGCTAATAGAAGTTTGAATGCAATTTTGTAATATTTCAAAATAAAATTGTGCAAGCCTTTTAATGATAATTCTAGCTCAAATAATCAAAATTTAAAATTGTCAAATCATGTTGAAATATAATTATAAAATTCAAATATGTTGCCTCAAGAAGCTTTCCATTGTCTTAAGAAGCATACCACTCATTTGAGAAGTGTACAACTACTTCGTGAGGCATGAATTGTCTCAAGAAAAATAGAACCACCTCAAGAACTGTGCCGCTCATTTTAGAAGTGCATAATGGTCTTGTGAATTGTTAGTTTTGTGTGAAATATAATTGTGTTGATCAGTCAAGCTGTACTAGTACGTTAAACCTCAATTCTATTAGTCAAGCTCGTCGTGGGGTCCTCCCCTTTCTTGGGTTTGAGTGCGTTGCACCAAAAATATATTTTCCCATACAACCGTACAATGCCTCGACGTTTTGTACCTAAGCACCCCGACGCTCTATAGTTTGCTTGGAGAAAGACAAAGAGTGGAGCGTTGTGGTGCCCCAACCCCAACTCTGTGACGATCTAGACCTCAACGCTACACATTATGAGTAGATTGGTTACAGAGTTGAGCGCTATGGTGGGATCATGACACTACGAAACGAACTGACAGTTTTACTTTTTTGTTTTTCATTAAGGGTTGAGTCCCTTGGTAGTTTTCTAAGCATATCTTTGTTTGTTCTTATGTAAAAATGGTGTAAGGGTGTAGAGAGGCAAATTGTAAAACAAAGAAGAAATTTCTAGGCAGTATGTTATCTTTAATATAAGATGACTGAAATTTGAGCTGGAATACCTAAAGTCTCTCAGCAAAATAGGGGCATGAATTTTTGGATCCCACAATTTTTTTTTAGAAGTTATTCTAGTTTTATTGGGGGACATTCTAGAAAAATGTCCTTATTTTCATTGATAGTTTAGATGATACAACTTCAAAAAATGTGAGCTGTTTGATCGTGATAAAACCATATTTAACTTGACATTTTTTTATAATTATAAAGTTAATTATCAATGGATACTGGTTGTACCATACGGCTTCCCATGTTATAGTAGCGATTTCTTATCAACTATGCATCTACATTTGGCAGGGAATGTGAAGAAATGGTGGTTATGGGGTTATTGGTCATCACCTGTAATGTACTCGCAAAATGCTATTTCGGTGAATGAGTTCCTTAGCAAGAGTTGGAGCCATGTAAATATATTTTTTTATCAAACTAGTTATAGAATCTCATAACAGTAATAGATATTAAGGAAAATGCATGACCATGGCGCTTGAATTTTTTGCAGGTTTTACCTGGAACAAATGAAACACTTGGAATAATTATCTTAAAATCTAGAGGAATATTTCCGGAAGAAAATTGGTATTGGATTGGTGCAGGAGCTTTGTTTGGATATGTTCTCATATTCAACTTTCTTTTCATTGTTGCTCTATCTTATCTCAAACGTAAGAAGTTACATGCTTTACATTAATCATATACTGCAAATAAATCGCAAGCTTTTAGTCAGAGGTGTCTTGTTATAATTTTACAGCACCTGGGAAGGCTCAATCAACTGTAACTGAGGAGGTTTTCAGGCAGCAACAAAATAGCATATTTGAAAAAAGTACGCTGCAACCAAGAGGTATGTACTCCTCCATTTATAAGTCTAAAAAATAAGTTATGTTAACAGTTATTTACAATGGTGTTCTTGGAACAATAACTGATTATGATTCATATAGAAGAAGCAACCAGAACGACAATAGCAGGAAATGCTAACTCAAATGAAATGAAAGGAATGGTGCTTCCATTTTTACCTTATTGCGTCACATTTGACAATATAAGTTATTCGGTGGATATGCCAAAGGTAAATTAGATTTGAAAAAGTTGATAAATAAATGCATAGGAAAATTACTATGTAAGTAACTATTGATTTCAAATAACATGAACATGTTTATAGGAAATGAGAGCTCACGGAATTGAGGATAAATTGATGCTTCTAAATGATGTGAGTGGTTGCTTCAGACCAGGAGTGCTTACTGCTCTAATGGGTGTTAGTGGAGCAGGTAAGACTACTCTTATGGATGTACTTGCAGGAAGAAAAACGGATGGATATATAAAGGGAAACATCACCATTTCTGGATATCCCAAGAAGCAAGAAACTTTTGCTCGTATTTCTGGATATTGTGAACAAAATGATATCCATTCTCCAAATGTCACAGTTTATGAATCCCTTGTATATTCTGCGTGGCTTCGCCTTCCTTCTGAAATTGATTCAGTGAAAAGAAAAGTGAGCGAAATATGTAGAAATTTGCTCATATCATCTTCATTTCAATTATAAACATTTTTTTCACATTCAGTTTTGGATATAGATGTTCATTGATGAGGTGATGGAGCTTGTTGAGATGAAAACATTAAAAGATGCATTGGTTGGATTGCCTGGAATAACTGGATTGTCAACTGAGCAACGCAAGAGATTAACTATTGCTGTTGAGCTCGTTGCAAACCCTTCAATAATATTTATGGATGAGCCAACCTCCGGGCTTGATGCTAGGTCTGCTGCTATTGTAATGAGAACTGTTAGAAACACTGTTGACACAGGAAGGACGGTAGTGTGCACAATTCACCAACCAAGTATTGATATATTTGAATCCTTTGATGAGGTATGTTGCCATATTGTATGATTAAACTTTATAAGGTTATCTAAGAATATGTGTACTACATAATTTTCATTATGTTTATATTTACTTTTTGTATTGCAGCTCTTCTTGATGAAGCTTGGAGGTGAAGAGATTTATGTTGGACCATTGGGGAATAATTCTTATCATCTTATCAACTATTTTGAGGTTAAAAAATAATAATTTAGATTATTTTTCTTTTTCTTAATTTAAAACATCATCACATCTTAGCCCATGAGTAAGACCCTCTCTCCTAAGCTAGAAGATATTTCTTTCTATGTTGCGTCAGAATTCGTGCAACACAAGAAGCGTCTTACATCTGAGCTAAAATGAACTGTAGATATTCCAACTCTTTTGTTTTTATGCGTTTCTTATTGTGTTATTAATTATCCAGGCCATTCAAGGCATCCAGAAGATAAAGAATGGTTACAATCCTGCAACCTGGATGTTGGAAGTCACAACATCAGCACAAGAAATTGCATTAGGTGTTGATTTCAATGAAGTTTACAAAAACTCTGAATTGTACAAGTAAAGAACCTGCCTAATCTTTCATCTAGTTCAAAGTGCAATTTGTCATAAATTAATTCATTTCTTAACTAATGTGTTGCAGGAGAAACAAAGCATTAATTATGGAACTAAGCCAACCATCTATTGGATCGAGTGATTTATGTTTTCCAACAAAATATTCACAATCGTTCCTAACCCAATGCATTGCATGCTTATGGAAACAAAACTTGTCATATTGGAGGAATCCTATTTATTCTGCATTAAGATTTTTTTTCACTCTTATGATTGCGTTGATGCTTGGGTCAATATTCTGGAATCTTGGTGGTAAAAAGTAAGTTGACAAATAGAAGAATATCAATACCACTAGTATTTCATTCTTATAAATTTGCATTAAACTGTTATAATGATAGTAGTCAGTTGACAAATGATATGGCTGCAGAGACACACAACAAGATTTGTTCAATGCCATGGGTTCCATGTTTGGGGCTGTGTTATTTATGGGAGTCTCATACTCAACTGCAGTACAACCAATTGTTAATATTGAGCGCACAGTCTTTTATAGAGAGAGATCTGCTGGAATGTATTCAGCATTTCCATATGCTTTTGGACAAGTAATGCACCTAATCTCCTTCCACTATGTGTCATCAAGTTATGCTTCCTACAACTTTACAAATTTTAGTATTCTTATTTCCTATACTTCATTTTTCAGGTTGTAGTTGAGCAACCATATATCTTAGTTCAATCAGTAATATATTGTATTATTGTGTATTCAATGATTGGGTTTGAGTGGACAACAACGAAGTTCTTATGGTACATATTTTTCACATATTTCACATTGCTATACTATACCTACTATGGCATGTTAGCTGTCAGCTTGACACCGAACGACACCATTGCCGCTATTGTCTCATCATTTTTCTATGGAATGTGGAACCTTTTCTCAGGATTTGTTGTCCCCAAGAAGGTAAGTTTGAACTTTTCTTATGCTTATTTGATTGCTTATTGATAAAAAATATCTAGTTGAATATAATGATTTTATTTTCACTTGTTTTATATATGAAATTTCATTTGAGGGTTTTGTAGAGTTTAAACTTAATGTAGACTTCTACTTACATCCAATAAAATGATAGAATTTTTTAATTTTAAATATTTTTTATAACATTTTCAATCTAACACGTTTTAGAAATGATGTTGGTTTCACTCTTTTGTGTATGAAAAGTAATCATCATCTTTGAGAAACTTAAGGATATAATTCTGATTTGAGCCCCTATATTGATATTACATAGTAGATGAAAAACAGGTTTTAGAAAGATATATATGTATATCTATGATGCACCGACACTCCTATTTGTGAAGGTATGCAGTGTCGGACACGGACATGCACCCAACACAGTTGGGACACGTATTGGACACTGTCGAAACATGTTCGATTCAAATAATATGTCTGTTTTTTTAAAGAACATTTAATTAAAAAATAATAATAAAAGTTTTTAACGAGCCAGACTGTAATTGATTAAGGGTTCTAATCATTGATTATTCTACTCATAGCTATAGGATTGTAATTTGTGTGCTCCCTCTAGCTGTTAACCCCTCTTAGAGTATTTCTCTTTTTCATAATTTGCATTATCTTATTTCTATGATAAGATTTTTGGAGTCTTTATACATCTTCCATACTTTGTTTAGAAATAAGTAATATAAAATTCAAAGTGGTTGTTACATATTTTCTACAATTTCTTTCGACTTATCTGTCCATTAAAATAAAACTATTTTACTTCAGAAGTATGTGATGTATGAAAGTCATGTTGATTTCTAATTAAATCATCATTTTCTAAAATACATTTTCTACGTGCAACCAAGTGAGTCCTTACATTCAATCAATTGATATGATCTAGTAAATTCCAATACTTTTTAAAAACATTTTTTCTATTTTTTTTAATAATATTTATTGCTTTTATTTGCTTTGTAGGCACTGCCAATTTGGTGGAGTTGGTACTATTGGATTTGTCCTGTTTCATGGACTCTATATGGATTGCTTGTATCACAATATGGAAATGACAATAATCTGCTCGATACAAAACAGACAGTGGCAGAGTTCTTAAATAGTTACTTTGGATATAAATATGATTTTTTGGGGGTGGTAGCAATTGTTGTCGTCTTTTTTGCAATTCTCTTTGCTTTCTTATTTGGTTTTGCAATCAAATTTGTCAATTTTCAAAATAGATGATGGTGTTTTGCAGTAAAAGAAAAGTAATAAGTTTAAATTTTGTAATTGTAACATGAAATGGGGCTTCCACTGTTATTGTAACAAATTGAAATGTTAATAACAAGGATATTCTAGTATTAGTTATATTATTATTATATAATATATTCTATAATTTTTTCATGTATTTGCCCATGTATTGGCACCTATTCTATTGAAAATATATAAGTTATTTTCCCTCATTAGTTTCAGTATAGTATCAGAGCCTCACTAAGCGCTAGCTGTTCATGCCTTTCCAATTCCATGAGTTCACCTCTCCTTGAATGACTGTTGACCTCTGTGTAAAGAACCAAAAGAAGAAAAGAAAAAAAATGTACGTACCTCAAACTGTCGAAGCCTGCGAATCCCGCATACCTCGTATCAGTTGAAATGCCGCCAAAATCTCCGCGAATACCACCTGAAATCCTGCGAGCTGCTCTGATTCGCGATCATTCCCGGATATCCAGCGAGCTCTCCTCGACTGCAGCTCGCTCTCGCTCATTAAAATGCCAAGAGAGCGACACTCTTCGGTTCTGCTTCTTCTTCTCTTCGCTTCTCCACTCAAAAAGGCATGAGCTTGTCTTCTTCTTCCTCCCGCGTGAGAACCCCAAATCCCACGAGCCACCGAAGACCTACCTCATTCGCAAACCTCCGATCCTCTTCTTCCCGAACTCCATTCGCCGAGTCTACTGCCTGCGATCAGAACCTGCAAACCACAGAGATCTCGGTAGCTTCTCTAGCCGAAGGTCTTCCTCCCGTCGGCCTTCCTCATAAGCCTCTATCAACCTCAACCGACCATCAAAACCTCTGCCTTAGCCAACCTACTCGTACCTGGACGAAACTCGCACCTCCTTCTTTCTCTTGCATCCGAACCCCTCTAGCCCGACGCCTCTGAACGGATCCTCTCTGTGTACAGTAAAGCACAGGTCACTGTAGCACTGTAGATAGAGAGAATCGAACGTGTTCCGTGACCTGATGCAATAATTTGCCCTGCCCTCCACTTAACCTAACCTTCTAAGCCCAATACGTCAACCCTTTTCAAACTACAAGTCCAAATCATCCTAACTCGAGCCCCACTTATCCCATTCGGAACCCAAATTAACCCAAGGTAATAAACTCCCCCCCCCCCTCCCCCCTCACTTAGCCCATTCGGAACCCAATTAATCCAAGTAATCCCTAAACCCCCACCCCACCCCACCAATTACTGCTAGTTATATTTTATTATTATTAATTATAATAATCATTTATTATAATTATTGATAATTAGTTTGTTATAATTATTGATAATTATAAATAACTATTAATTATAATGATTATGTTAATTATTAATAATTATAGTTATTATTAATTATAATAATTATGTTATTATTATCGCAAAAAAGGAGAAAAATCCAAAAAAAAAGAGAGAAAAGAAGGATGTTATGATTTTGTGTATTTTGCACCATCGTGTTGTCGCATCGACACCTTGCCAATGTATAAATCCCAAACATGAGAAAACCAACCATCCTCGACACTTGTAGCGCGGTGAATAATCACCCATGCGTGCTTTTCTTAGCACGATGGGAGGAAGTTCGTCGTGGTGCTAGCGGCGAGGCTGGTATTCCCTCGTAAAGTCTTTTTTTACATTTGCAGTGCACCGAGGGACCCTCTATGCACGTTTTTCTTAGCGTGGTGGGAGGGAATTCGATGAGATGCCTACGGCGAGGCAGGTGATTCTTGTGTGCGCTTTTCTTAGCACAACAGGGTAAGAAAAGAACTGGTTCTTTAAATATGTGCTTTTAAAGACCCATGCACGCCTTTCTTGGTACTACGACCGCGGTGTCCCACGACACTGACCGTGCACGTCTTTTTTGACGTAGCAGGCAGGCTGTGACTCTTGGTTTTTCCCCTAAACAGGGGAGACGTTGGGAGGTTGTTGAAATTTCATTTGAAGATGCAAAGCACTTGGATAAAGAAGAAGATAACCTGGTTTGAACTAAGTGAAGGAAACTTGATTGAACTCATATAAACACTTACAAGGGACCGCACTCATACTTGAATTTGAACCGATGGCAAATTGAAAACAATTATAATGAACTTAATGTGGATTTGAATAAATATAAAGGATGCAATTTGAACTTGCTAAGTGAATAATAATAAATTGAACTTAAATGAATTTAAATCCAAACAAGTGACAATGAACCACAAGGGACTGTGGTTGAACCAAGACTCGAGATGAGCAAGGACTTCTGAACTTGGACTTGATTTGAATCAAGCATAGTAGATATGAACAGAATTTGAACTCAATAAGCCCACAAGGAGCTTGAACTTGACTTAAACCTGGATTTAAACATTGAGTATAAATAAAGTACATAATGATATAGAATTCAAGTGACTAATAAAAAACTAAATTTTGAATAATTAAATGATTGGTCAAACATGCAAATGATAAATGACAATCATGATTGTTCAAACAAGGATCGATTGAAAGACTTATGGCTCTCTCATAAGTAACAAATGAGTTCCATAAACATTGAAAGGAAGTATAAAATGAGCATAGTAGGTTGTTGACAAATGTATGTTAGAAAATTAGCGATGACTGTAGTCATTCTGATAGTCAACAATAATCTACAAATACACACACCAATCTATTATAGATTATTTAGATCTTAGTGCAGTGAGTTCAACAAATCATTAGCGAATATAAATGGGGGAAATATAGTGAACACAACTCACCCATTGATCTATCATGCAAGTAGATATATCTATCTCCTTCAAGAAGAAGAATCAGATATGCAACGAACATAAAAACCTTCTTGCAAAGGAATTTTGGAGATCTTCAAGCTAATCAAAATTCAAGGGGGTATGAAGGGCATTTAGCAGTTGATACAATTGCTTTATAACACTCCAGCAATTTACATCAATATATAAACAAGCACACTAATTTGTATGCAAGTAAGGATATAAGATCTGCAATACATACGAGTTACCTACGAATGTAGATGTATGTACAACATTCTGCCTATGGATAGATGTAGAAAGACATCAGTAAATACAATATCCTATAGTCAATTTCAATCTATAAATGAATACATCTACCTGCAACAATAATGGATGTATTATAGGGACCAAAATCATAGTGAAATGCATGAAGAATGCAGCGAATACAAGTTCCTATGAGCTTTTGCAAAAGTAGGAGATTCGTTAGTGCACTATAATTCACCTGTAGAAAGCAACAACTTGTGCACGACAGTCTACCTGCATGAAACGGGTAAATGAGCATAGTACGATACCACGCCACCAAATCTGTAACATCCTTACAAGAGGACAGAAGGCATGTATAAGCATCCAAATAGAACGCTGCATTCAAATGAAGGTCACCCACACAATTGAGCAGCATCAAATATCTAAAAATGTCCTGTATTTTGACAAAAAAAAAACTCAAAATTTAATCGGGTAATTTTAAATGTGTATTTTTTCCATGTGTTTTACCAATATTAATTTTATTAGAATATGTTGTAAAACAATAAAAGCCCCAAAATTAGATTTCAAATGTTCCTAATAAATGATTTTTTTGAATTGTTATTGTTGAGTGTGTACAAGTTCTACCTCATGGATACTATTGAAATTATCATATATGTGTTTCTTTCATGCATTTATGCATTATGTTAAATATCTTCATACATATCGAACATATAAATGTTTCCATGTCCATGTGATGAAATGTACATGTCATGTTCATGTGGTGAAGGATGTGTGGAGAGAAAAGAAGTGATATAAGTGGTGGTGTTTGTTTCATATTTTGTTCAATACAAGTATAGTTATAAGGGCATATGCACACATGTACCTCCTCCATGTGTCTTGAGTAGGTGTGAGATGAACAAGTGAAGATATAAGTGAAAGTGGAGTTATAATGGGAATTGAGCTATATATATAATTTCTTCATCTATCCTAAAACAACTATAAGATGGTCAAGTGGAAATATAAGTGAAAATCAATATATAAGAAGGCTTTGAGGCATGTGCATGTGAATCATATTTTTTATAATCTGTATATATATCGGTCATTTCATTTTGACGTAATGTTCAAGTTTAAATGAAGTTCATGTTGTTGTCACGTACAGGTTCAAGAACTAATTATGTCATTGTTTCTGATAAATGTATATTATTGACACATAACCACTATTAATACTTAAGTGAACTACTGTAATCATGTCATGAATAGAACATTGTATAATTATCACATCACTTAAACTGAACTGTAAAACTTCCTTTTTATTTCTCATGCAATTTATTTTAATTATTAAATTTGAATTCTTTAGTAGGTCTCAAGTAGCCTATTGAACAAGTGGCTTGCTCATCCTACTTATTTACATGTTATTTCAGGAAGGGTAAAACCTAGCTAACTAGAGAAAAAGTTGATAAGGTGAAAAGTTTAGGTTGTAGGTATGTTTCTATTTTAAAATAATTCTTTTTGAAATCCAATCATTTTAGTGTATAAGTAGATATGAGGAAAAAGTTATACTGGATTATTGTACATGACTTTTTTAATGAAATGTAAATTATTTATATTTATGTGATTGAATGCTTAGTTGGCTCTGGGTCTCTATTTATTGATGATGAGTTAAACAAAAATAAGAAAAATTATTCTAATTAGATATTGGGGCGTGACAACAAGCCCCTCAAATGAAACTTCATAGATAAAACAAGTGAAAATTAAATAATTTTATTCTACTATAGGTTTTTTTTCCATGGGCAAATAAATAAGCATAAAATAAGTTCAAACTCACTATTCTGGGGATTACGAATCCTGAGAAAAGATTCCATATTCCATAGAAAGCAGAAGAGACAATAGAGGCAATAGTGTCGTTCGATGTCAAACTGACAGCCAACATGCCATAGTAGGTGAAATACAGCAATGTGAAATATGTGAAAAATATGTACCATAAGAACTTTGTTGTTGTCCATTCAAACCCAATCATTGAATACACAATGATGCAGTATAATAATGATTGAGATAAGATATATGGTTGCTCAACTACAACTTGACAAATGCAGAATAAGAAATATGAGTAATAGAAGTTGAAGCAACTTGATGGCACAGTGGAAGGTTATTAGGTGCATTACTTGTCCAAAAGCATATGGAAATGCTGAGTACATTCCAGCAGCTCTTTCTCTATAGAAGACCAAGCGCTCAATGGCAACAATTGGTTGTACTGCACCTGAGTAAGAGACCCCCAAAAATAAAATAGCCACATACATGGAACCCATAGCATTGAACAAATCCTGTTGTGTGTCTCTGTAGCCATACCATTCAACAGAAAATTATAACAATCTAAATGCAAATTTAAGATAATGAAATACTAGTGGTATTGACATCCTTTTATTTATCAGCTTACTTTTTACCACCAAGATTCCAGAATATTGAACCAAGCATCAAGGCTATCATCACAGTGAAAAAAAATCTCATTGCAGAATAGGTAGGATTCCTCCAATATGACAAGTTTTGTTTCCATAAGCATGCAATGCATTGAGTTAAGAATGACTGTGAATATTGTGTTGGAAAATATAAATCACTTGATCCAATAGAAGGCTGACTTAGTTCCATAATTAATGCTTTGTTTCTCCTGCAACATATCAATTAAGAGACATGAATTTATGACAAGTTGCAATTTGAACCAGATGAAGGATTAGGCAAGAGCTTTACTTGTACAATTCAGAGTTTTTGTAAATTTCATTGAAATCAACACCTAATGCATCTTCTTGTGCTGAAGATGTTACTTCTAACATCCAGGTTGCAGGATTGTAACCATCCTTTATCTTCGAGATTCCTGGAATGTCCTGAATAATTAAAAAAGCACATTATGTAATGAGTTAAAAAAGACTTGGGATATCTACAACTAGGATATAACACACTTAAACTTGGGTTGCAAGACATTTTCATCAGATTTTGATGGAATAGAGAGAAGTATCTTGTAGCCTGGGAGAAAGGGTCTTGCTTGTGGGTTAAAATGTGAATCTTTTGAATTAGTAAGAAAAAAATTGCTCTAAAATGTTTTTTTTTTTTTTTTACCTCAAAATAGTTGATAAGATGACAAGAGTTGTTCCCCAATGGTCCAACGTATATCTCTTCACCTCCTGTCTTCATCAGGAAGAGCTGTAGTTCAAAAAGTATATATTAACTTCATGAAAATTATGTGGCAAGCATATTAATAAATGTAACCCTATAAAATTTAATCATATAATAGGACAACTCACCTCAAAAAAAGATTCAAATATATCGATACTTGGTTGGTGAATTGTACACACTACTGTCCTTCCTGTGTCAACTGTGTTTCTAACAGTTCTCATTACAATAGCGGCTGACCTAGCATCAAGGCCAGAGGTTGGCTCATCCATAAATATTATTGAAGGATTTGCAACGAGCTCAACAGCAATGGTTAATCTCTTGCGTTGCTCAGTTGACAATCCAGTTAATCCAGGCACTCCAACCAAAGCATCTTGCAATGTCCTCATCTCAACAAGCTCCATTATCTCATCAATGAACATCTATTATCCAAAACTTTATGTGAAAAGAAATGTTTTATGATCGAAATGAAGATAGCATAACCATATTTTTATATATTTCACTCACTTTTCTTGTTTTTAAATCAATTTCAGGAAGAAGACGAAGCCACAAAGAGAAAATAAGGGATTCATGAACTGTCAAATTTGGAGAATGAATATCATTTTGTTCACAATATCCTGAAACACGAGCAAAAGTATCTTGCTTCTTAGGATATCCAGAAATGGTGATGTTTCCCTCTACATATCCTTTTGTTTTTCTCCCTACAAGTACGTCCAAAAGAGTGGTCTTTCCCGCTCCACTAACACCCATTAGAGCAGTAAGAACTCCTGGTCTAAAGCAACCACTCAACCCATTTAGAAGCATTAACCTATCCTCAATAGCATGAGCTCGCATTTCCTATAAACACGTTTTTATTATTTGAAATCAGTAGTTATTTAAACAAGAATTTGGTACACTTACACTCATATGCACTTATTTATCAAGTTTTTCAATTATAATTTACCTTTGGCATGTCCACTGAATATCTTATGTTTTCAAATGTGATGGAATATGGTAAAAATGGAAGCACCATTCCTTTCGTCGTATTTGAGTTGGAAATTTCAGCGCTTCCTTCTGTTAATGTTCTGGTTTCTTCTTCTATATGAGGTAATATAGATGTGGTAATAAACATAATTACCTTTAAGATTTATAAATGGAGTTCATACCTCTTGATTGGAGCGTAGATTTTCCAATTACTCTTTTTTGTTGCTCCCGCACAGCCTCCTCAGACACAGTTGATTGGCCCTTCGCAAGTGCTGTAAGATTATAAATAAGAAACCTTGGACAAAAAGCTTGTGATTTCTTTGCAATATATGATTAGTGAAGAGCATGTAAAGTCTTACGTTTGAGATAAGATAGAGCAACAATTAAAAGGAAGTTGAATATGAGAACATATGCAAACAAGGCTCCTGCACCAATCCAAAACCAATTTGCTTCCGGAAATATTCTTTTAGACTTTAATATTAGTATTCCAAGCGTTTCATTTGTTCCAGGTAAAATCTGCAACAATTTTAAGAACCATGGTCATGCATTTTTCTTAAGACATCTTAACATTATGAGATTATATGACTAGTTCACTAGAAAAAAAATATTACATGGCTCCAACTCTTCCCTAAGAACTCATTTACTGAAATAGCATTTTGTGAGTACATTAGTGGTGATGCCCAATAACCCCATACCCACCATTTCTTCACATTCCCTGCCAAATGAGGAGGCATAACTGTTAAGATACTGCTAGAATAACATAAGAAACCGTATAGTACAACCAGCATCTATGGCTGAATATTTTCTAAAATATACATAGAATTGTCAAGTTTACAATTTCTCAATTGTATCATCCCAACATTCAAAGATAATCAGGACATGTTCTAAGAATGTACAACAATAAAATAAGAATAACGTTTTAAAGAATTGAGCTAGAAAAGATCATTTTTGATAAGATTGTTATATGAAGGAATAACTGAAAATTTAGAGGACCCTAATGGAACAAATAACATAGCTCTAAACTAAGATTAACACAAATAATCAAAATGAATTTTAAGTTGTGCCAAAGCATTTTCCTATAACACTGCAATATTGAAATTAAAAAATATTAGATGGTTTGAAAAGAACCGTATGAAATTATGAATCCTCCCAACGCCATAATCACCAGCAGTGCGTAGTATGTCAATGCATTAGCAATAACAGGAATTCTTCCAAGTACTGCAATGAAGCGACACATTCCTGAAGCCACTTGGTTTACAAGAAGCAGCAGAAGGTAATGTTTGAAAAACCTACAAAAAAATTTATTTTTTTGAGACCCAGAAATGAAATATTGAATAAAACATGAATGTTTAAGCTTAAAAACATCTGACCTTACTGCACTTGAATCATATCCTATGGAAAAGTAAGTGATAAGCACCCAAATTGCAACTTCAATGCTTGAAAATGGTATATTTAAGATCCAATTTGGTAATGCTAAAGCCCATGAAGGATAGAAGTGATAGTCCCTCTGCTTGAAGTGGACAGGTAGTTTAATAATGGTTAAAACAAGCTCAGAGGAGCCATTCATATAGATAGTGACAAGAGAAAAAAAGAGAGCTCCATTGTAAATCTGTCCATCATCTATAGAATTGTGACGCATTTGTGTCTTCCAGAATAGCGACATCATTATAAATGCCATAAACATGACCTGAAAGACAAGGAAATGAATGCATGAATTTGATTTGTCAGATTGAAGTATTAGGTTTTTAATTGCAGGGGTATCCTCTTACCTGAAAAGCTCTAAACACATAAACAAAAGAGTTTCTCTTCATTAGAAGCAGTTCTCTTTCAATGCAGGCTTTCAGTATTTCAATTCCACTGACACCAAACTTTGAGGTTGTTAAAGCAGCAGGGTGGCTCTTGCTCCTGTCAAAAGGAACAGATAACTCTGTTCGAAGGTTTTGTCCTACATAAAATAAGCCAAATGCTTTTGCGAATTCCTTAACTGGCACATATTCATATGGTTTATCATGTTGTGCCCAATATTTCTTTTGATCTTTCTCGGAAATCACCTGATGTAAACAGGCAATTAGGTTATGTTGGAGACTATATATATTAGAATTCTGGAGCAAAATTTTCTCAAAATAAAATCTATACAAGATACAGTTGAATATACTCTTTAAATGCATGCATTTTGCTATTAGAATACTTTGAAGATCGTCACCAATTTACTTTGAGATATCAAGTGAGATCTTTTATATTTTGTGAGACTTTGTAATAAATTTTGTCTCCAAGCTCATTTCTTGGTATCACTATAAATAGAGCCCTAGTAAGGGATTTTGTTTCCCATAACCACAAGCAAATATCAAGAAGTGTAAGAGAGAGGGGAAAGGGACAGGCAATTGAGAGAGAAAGGAGAATTTTATGTTCTTATACAAGAGATTTATTCTACTTCTAGAACGTACTGCTAGTTTCGATTCTATCAATAGGTAAAGCTTTCAGTCGTAGTAGGATAGCGATCATTTGAATTGTTACAGCAGAGAGGCTCTCAATAACAACAACATGTTCTTTTTGTTCAACCGTGAACCAGTCCTATGGCCGGTTCGGTCCTCTTAGAAAACCGGGCTTGCATCAAACCGGTTTGAACTACCGGTTCAACTGCTAGACCGTTGAACCGGCCTGATTTTTAAGAACCGGCCGGTTCAAATTATAATACATTTTTTATTATAAATATTTTTGCCCTCAAACCAAGTTATATTTCAATTCTTACCTCTAGCTTTATATGAAATATAATGTCTCCACATGCTCCGTGATGCAGGTATCAACATGAAGCAAGTAGAGCGGGAAGAAGAATAAAAAGGCAAACACTGGAATTTTTCTTATAATATCAACGTGTGTGTTTCTACAGTAAGAGGCTCGCAATGTATTCTACTGTGGTCCCAAGTATTGTACGGAATAAGCATAAGAAGGTGATGGAATTAAAGTGTGTGCAGTATTCAATAATTTTCAAGAATGTAAGCATAATTTGGCATGAAATTTTTCTCAAAACATACCTATTTTACTATTCCTTCATAAAACCTCATGGTTATTTTCATTAAATCTTACTTTAAATTTATAGCATGTTGATATATAGAAATCTATATAAACCTAAATTAAAGACCAGCCATATACTTTTAATAGTATTGATATATCATCAAAAAATTATCTTGATCAAGCACGAACACGACACAAAATTAAGTTAGAAACTTCTAAAATTAAATTCGGGACCAACCAAATTCTGATTTTAACAAACTTATAGTCAAACTAAACATCTCGAAAGGACGAACCCAACGACACCAAATTCGACCCAATCCAAGTCCAAATGGGTCCAAATCGAAGACCCGAAGTGCATTTGGAAGATTCAAATCATAAATTGAAAGACCAAACAATTTCCAAACATGACATGCTTATGGTCAAATCAAGCAGCTCAACAAGACGATTCCAATGAGCCCAGATCGTAGAATTCTAGCATTACTAAGGCACTCAAATACTCGATAAACAGTCCATGATCAAAGGAGTTGATATTGACCATCCATTCAAAACACTCCCAACATGCCCTTTGAACGTAGCTGCTTTTGCCCACTTAGAAAAGTATTATGTTGTTACCAGTATGAAGCGGTCTTTAGTTGATGACAACATATCTATTGGTCTGATTATATCAGTGACCTGACATTCAAATGGTCAGAACGCTACTATTGGTCACAGTGGATTTGGTGGTTAATGTATAACATCACTGTGAATCTGACACTCGTGGCACCTATTAGCATGGTCAATACAATTCTTCACCATCGATGGCTAATAATAACCCATCCCCTTAATTTTAACAGCTATTTTTTGGAACCTTATTGGTGTATGCCACAAAGTCCTTCGTGAACTTCTGCTACCACTCTATCAGCTTTCTTTGTTCCTAGGCATCTTAGCTCCATTTGATCAAAAGCTCATCAATACAGTGTGTCGTTGACAAATGTGTATCACAATGCTCTCTAGCTGATTTTCAATAATGATTTGTTGGGAAGGTTTCGGATATACCGGAGTTGCATCCTACTGGTTTGAATCCCGTATTACCTATGCCTATGGGAATTGCAAAATTACTGGCTCTATAACCCAACGAGTGTAAACTATAATCAGTATAGGTTCCTCGTCACCTATATTCATTGTCTCCTTGGCTAAATTGTCTAGGCAATCTGCTTTGCCATTCTAACCTCGAGAAACTCAAGCTATCTTAATATTTGGCACTAATTTTAGAAGCATCAGAGCTCACCTAGGATAATGAGCCAGCTAAGCTTGCAAATCTTAAAGATGCCCAGAACTTGATTAATAACAAGCCGAGAATTGCCGTAAATCTGAAGACTCCGAATCTTGAATGAAATTGCGATCTCCAAACTGACTATCAGAGCCTCGTATTTGGCTTTATTTTTGGTCAAAGGTTTAGTTAGATTAAATGAAAACCTTATTATGCCTCCCTTGGGCGCAATGAAATTGAGACCAATGCCGGCTCAGGCTTTTTCAAGATTTGGTGGTTGGGCAAGTTTAATTGATAATGATCCATCGAAATACATCGCCCAAACTTGTGGCTTCTCTCTTTCCTTGACCTGCATGATTTTCTCATCAGAAAAATCATCGTTGAGCGGAGAATCTACAAGGATAGGGTGTACGACAAGAAAATCAGCTAAAGCTTGCCCCTTCATCACTTTTTGTGGCATATACATGATATCAAACTGCAGTAGTATCACAACCCACCTTGCTAGATGACATGTCAACGTTGGTTTGTCATCAAGAACTTCAACGGATCGATCTTTGATATCAATGTAATTTTATGAGAAAGTATGTAATGGTGGAGTTTCTAAACTGTGAAAACCAACATCAGATAATGCTTCTTAATTATAGAATAACGTATTTTAGCTCCAATCATCCTCCGAATGGTGTAGCAGAGCACATTCGCTTTTTGCTCTTCATTGTAATGGGCCAATAATGCTCCAAAGAACTCTTCTGGTGTTGTCGTGTACAATATATGAGGATTCCTCAAAATTGGAGCTACGAGAATGGGAGGGGTTAATAGGTATCTTTTGATACTATCAAAAGCTTTTTGACATTCTCTGTCCTATTTGAAACAGACGTCTTTCTTCATTAGCTTCGAAAATGGCTAGCACCTACCCAACAAATTCAACATGAATCATCGAACGAAAGCCAGTTGTCCTTACAAAGAGTGAAGTTGATGGAGGTTCTTTGGCGGTGATATTTCCATAATCACCTTGATCTTATTGGGGTCAATTTTGATGTCTTGGTGACGAATAACATAACCTTAAAATTTTCCTAAGGAGACCTCGAAAGCACACGGTTCGTTTTCAAACCATACTTTTTATCCTTTCAAATATGATCCTAAGGTTATTTAAGTGATCTTTTTCATTCATGATGTTGACAATAAGATCATCTACATAGCACTCGATCTTTTGATATATTAATTCATAAAAAATGTGTGTCATTGCCCATTGGTAGGTGGCATTGGAAATTTTCAAACCGGATGACATAACCGTGTAGTAGAATATGTCAATGGGTGTTATGAATAATATATTCTTTTCATTTTCAGTCAGCATCTTGATTTGAATGTAACCCGATGATTCGTCTATAAATAAGCACATGTCGTATTTGGATGTATTACCCACAAAGAGTTCTGACACTGATAGTGGAAAATCATCTTTTGGATATGCCTTGTTGAGGTCTCGAAAGTCGATACACGATACAAACACGGATCTGATTATTCTTCTTCTTCACATAGACAACGTTGCAGATCCAATCGGCATATTTTTCTTAACAACTAAAGCATACATCTATAAGCTTCTTCGTCTCTGCAATCACCTGTACTTTAATCTTCGATTTCATTCTCCTTGGAGCTTGTTTAACAGATGCTGCCTCTGGCTTAATAGCCAATCTGCAAACTGCTATGTCAGGGGATAAGCTAGGCATCTCAATGTATGTCAAGGCAAAACAATTCCTAAATTCACAAAGGAGTTCTTTTATTTCTTCCACTTGGTCTTTAAGTAGAAGGAGCTGATGAAGGTTGGGTGAGGGTCTTCTTATATCCCCAAGTTGACTTCTTTTAGCTTGTTCATTGTAGCGACCTGTCCATCATCTTCAAGCTTTTCTTATATAAGTTTGACTTCTATGGGCTGATCATCATAAGTGTCTACTTCACAGGTCTCCTCATTGCCATTGTCATCGAATTTAATTTCCCCGTATATGATTGCTTGACAAATCTCCTCTTACGGATATTTTCGCATGACAAATCCTAAACCTGTTCTTACAAGAACATCCTTTCTGCATAACAATGAGGAGACTTAAGTGTCATCATAAGTGTCAACATTGCTTGTAACTATTAACTTCTTCACAGAGTCATTTGGCAATTCAGCGTACCATTCGAAAGCAGCTGCCATTAAACTGTTGACAAATTATTCTAAGAATAGGGCATCATTGCCTTATGTATTCCCTCATATGGCTTTGAATTGTGCCAAGTGCAACTTAGGATTGTTATTACCAATTGAGATATTAAACTTTAGGATAAAGTACCCTTTTGGGTACAGCACTTGGATGTATTCAACAAGATACCGGCGATCCTTGCCTGTCAATTCTCAGCCTAATCAACAACTATAGTAGACTTGATTTTTTCAGTGATTATTCCCTCTAGTTGTGCAGTCGTCACAGGCTCAGAGGTGCTTGCTATGTTTTGGGGAGTGGGTTGGCAGGTTATGTTATTAACTTCATTACTGCCTTTAGGAGTGCCCCGTATTCCTAAAACTTGAGGCATTTGGAGGTTTGGAGGATCGGCGTAATGTGTGGGTGTAGGGCCCGTGATAGCAATTCTTTGCATCATATGCATTTTTTGCCTCAATTTGGGTCATCATCTCAGTTATCTTCTCATTCAATTGATAAATTTCTCTATCCTTGGCCCTCATCTAATGCCTTATCTTTCTTTGCATGTTTACTAATGTGACAGTGTCGGCGACAAAGGGATTTTCTTCAACTTCTTCTTCTTCCA